AATTGGTAGGCAGAATATTTCCAGACATGAAACAACAAAGAAAAATGCATGCAGATGCACAAAAGCCAATCATTCCATCCATTCCAATGGGAAAAGGACATAGATGCAATCCCAAATTTACTGAGTTTGGGTGATCTAAGTTTCCAACAAGAATTTCTTAGCTGCAGCATAGGAAAAAATAAGTCCATAGAACAATAACAGAATAGCAAAACAACAGAGTTGGAAGGGACCTTGGAGGTCTTCTAGTCCAACTAGAGTTCTCAAGCAGGAAACCCTATATCATTTCAGACAAATGGTTGTCCAATCCCTTCTTAAAAACCTCCAGTGCTAGAGCACCCACAACTTCTGGAGCCAAGTTGTTCCATTGATTAATTGTTCTAACTGTCAGGAAATTTCTCCTTAGTTCTAGGTTAGTTCTCTCCTTGATTAGTTTCCATCCATTGCTTCTTGTCCTGCCTTCAGATGCTTTGGAAAATGCCCAAACACAATTTCAGCCACAGCTTGAGCTTGTTTGCATCTGTTTCTTTAGAACCTGAAAACAAAAATATGTTCTGGGGGAAAGAATTAATACATTAATTGTTGCATTACATACAGCAAGGTTTGCCCCTACTTCTGCCCCTTCTGATCCTGATATATTGCAGAGCTGAGAGTCACTTTGACAGAGAAAGGATGTTTAGCCTTTCCCTTCTGAGCAGTTAAAAGAAAGAAAGAAAGAAACCTCTCAAAAATTGCTCCCTGTGCAGCAATGAAGCATTCAAATAGCCTCTTTTGACAACAACTGAGGCTATTTTAAAGACTTGCAGGTCAGAAGAAAATTCTACTTTAATATCAGATGCTGCATAGAAATATGAATGTCCCTTCCTCTTTTGGGGGACAACAAGTTTGGCTAAGAAGTAGAGTTGGGGCATTCTCTTGGCTTTATAGGCCTGTGGGCAAAAGGTTCTTCAGGCTGACATGAGGATGTGTTCTGACCCAAACCTTGTTCCAAGGAAACAAACACGAAATAGAGGTAACAGAAAAACCTTTTAATGATTATTTACGAATTCCGTTCCTTCACGGTTAAAAGGCTGTTTCAAACTAATTGTCTCTGATAAGAATGAGCCTTGCCAAGGTTGCGCAAGGCTACCAAGAACAATAAGTAAAGTTACTAAGAAATATTTCAAACACAAAGAGTCTCCAAACACCAACCAGGAGAATCCGAACGCCCACAAGGCTTGAGTACAAAAACTTCTTTGCTTCCTGCAAAGAACTCCGATTTCTCAGCTGGCTTTTATCTCTTGAGGGAGGGGCCATTACCTTGCAGCCTTACTCCCGAGTCACCCGTGCTGCTGCAGATGCTCTTTCCTTCAAGCAGCTCTGCGTGCATGCGCACTGGGCACAGGCTCCTCAGGAACCTCTTCATCATTGCTGCCAGCCTCCACAATCTCCGAAGGCAGCATTCCACTCCCTGATGGTCCTGGCCCCATTCCTGCATCACACACAGGCCCCTCATCTGAGTCCTCACTCTCCGAGACCTCAGCCGTCTGCACCTGCTGCCAGTGAACCACAACAGGATGTTCCAGAGAATTCTATCTTGTCCTACATGCTATTTAACAATTGTGTGAACCATACCGGCATTGGAGTAGAATGAAGAAGATTGTCAAAAGGTAGAGTATTGTATCACTTCCTTTTCTGGCCTGTTTCAAGGACACCATTTAGAAGCTGAGGTGGTATTTGAGGTGTGCAGTGGAGAAACATAAACCAAGATTGAGAAACTGAACTTGAATGCAGAATTTTGGAGGGAGTAGTGCACTTCATTGGAGAAAAATATAATCAGGGGTTCCCTCTGGATCTTTGTATCTGGAACTGATAACAATGAAATGTTCTCCTAAGGAGATAGACCTCTACAATCTTGACTATAGGCACATGCTTAAGTCTCCCATTGAAATCTGCTGGACTTTGACAAGGCCTCCTTTGGACTTGTTTATTAAGGAGTAGAAGATATGTCATCCTTTGATATTTTTTAAGCTGATAAAAAGCCTGCTTCATGGCTAAATTTAAATTGCAAGGAAACATGAGAGAAACTGAGTAAAAAGTTTCATAAACATAATTTGTCTAATATTCCAGAAATTATTAGAACCATTTCAAGTGACCTTCTTGTAGGCTTTGATACACTTAATATCAGAAGTCTGAATGTAAAATGCAGTTAAACGTAATAGATCATTCAATCTCCAAGAAGAATAGTGGAACAATGAGAAAAATTTAAAGATTGAGTGTATGAGTGTGCCTGTACCGGTATAGGAACTGCCTCATAGGTGCAATGATTTCTCTGTATTTTTTACACGTTTTTATAAATATAATCCTATAATTATTTTGGATCTGACCAATTTATGCAAAAGATTGTTGGAGAAAAGATTAAGAAAATGGATTCAGCTCTAATAAATGCTACTCTGTTGCAGAGATTAAGAATGAAATCCTGATATGTGCAGGGAATCTTCAACGAACTGCTTGTAAAAATATCATGATTACATACATGCATGCATACATACAGACAGACAGGCAGACAGAGATAGAAATAGATATATATATACACACACATATATGTATGTATGTATACATACATGAAAAATGCTGAGGGAGCCAAGCGTGAAGTGTATACACACACACACACACACATCATACATACATTTGCAGATTTTTATTTTCAGCCTGAAATACAACACCGCTTTGGGGGAAAATGTGTGAGATGTTTTGTGTCACTGTTTACGCATAAGCATCTGCTTCCATCTGCAGTGCAAACTGTGTGGAAGTGCCCATTGCTATTTTGTCTTTCTGGCTGGGCTGTTCTACAATAGGCCTTTAGCCAAGATGCAAAAAGCTTTCCCTGTCGACTTACCAGCATCTGGTACCACACCAAATGTTAAAGAGACAGGACCCCTTGCCTGGAAGTTCTGTATAATCCTAACCTGGAAAAACAATTAAAAAAATCTTGTGGGCCCGGTTTGGATTCTAAATACTTGTGGTTACTTTGCTGTGGAACTGTGTTGTATACTTCCTTTAAATATTCCTGCTGGCTGTGATCATTTCTCACTGGTTTTATTTTTCTTTCTTTCAAGACAGTAGACTTTAATTTTTCTTGACTCTCCATATGTCAAGTGGCCAACATTAAAGGAGGACCTTTATTAGATGTGTGTAGATCAGGGTAATTTTTAACAAGATTGCATTCCTGTCTGGCAAGCGGGGAGCGAAGAATGCTCTTCTCAGCAGCCACCAGAAGTAAAAACTTTTTTCTCATCGCTGCATTTAGTCAACCTCAAAGAAGGTCCCACGCACACGAGTCTACTAGGCAGCAAAGCCACTCAGAGGCTTTGCTTGCCCCTCCGCCTCTTCTAAACAGTTTGACGGACCATCATACTCAGAGCCAGCTTTATCCTAAGCCGGCACCCACACCGTTTCCCATCTCTGAAATGGGATTCACCCTCAAAGATGCGGGGCGCCCAGTGTTTCTATCCCAGCAAACATCTGTGCAAATTGTGTGTGTGTGTGTGTGTGTGTGTGTGTGTGAGAGAGAGAGAGAGAGAGAGAGAGAGAGAGAGAGGCAGGCTGCACAAGAAGATCCAGAGAGCTTCACCGAAGCGACATTCAACCGTAACGAAACCTCCCTAATTCTGAACCGCAGACGCAGAAACTCCGGAACCTGGCGAAGGGGCTTGTCCTGATTAGTTCTGTCCCCGCCTCCATTCAGAATCCCCTCAGAAAGGCAGATCCGCCCCTCTCTCTTTTCACAAACTCTTATTGGTTCCTGGGCACGTCGTTTTAACAGGCCGAAGGTGGGGGGGGGGGGAATGTTTGCCATTCGGAGAAGTTTGAGCTACAATCGAGAGCTGCACGTGTGGCAGCCGCCAGAGCAGCCGGGAAGAGAGAATCCCACCGGGAAGGTGACAGGCGAACGCTTGCGATAGACTTTCCGCCAGTCTGCCCAGCCGTTCGCGCCAGGTGAGGACTTCTTTCCACCGTACCCCACCTTTGCGGAGGAACCGCTTTGGGACAGCAGGGCAGCTTCTGCTGGCTTCCTTGGAACCGACCGCCGTTGAGTCTTTCCGTCGGGTTCTTCCTTCCGCCGAAATCCAGAAAGTTCCGCCAGCGCTGGTCCTGGAGACAAGAGGACCAAACCTGTGCTCAGTCCCATCCCACCCTGGACTGCCGTTTAAGAATGCGGAGGTCACCCCGGCAGCCCAGATCTCCGCCTAGCTAGCTAGTCCGGAGGCGGGAGGAGATGTATCAGCTGGAGATCCTCGCCCGGGTAGCGAAGTGCGTTCCGCCGGCTTCTCCGGATCCAGCAGCTTCTTAACTTCCCGGGATCTCCTCCGCCTGGCTGCAATTTCAGGCAAGGCAGAAGGGCAGTTTGGAAGGCGGCCGCCCATTTTACCAGCGCTTAGATGCGTTGCTTTCTTGGCTAGCTTGGCTTAGTTTCCAGACGGCCAACTCGACCCTGCCGAGACCCTCCCCAGTAGCTGGGGCGCGATGCTGCCGTCTCTGCCGGGCCCTTGCTTCATCCCCGAACGGCAGCCTTTCTCCTTCCCTTCCCTTCCGTCCCTTACGCCTTTGGAGCAGAAGCCCCCGGCTTCCCGCTAGCGCGCTGGAATGAGGCGCCCGTGAACCCCACTCCCCGTTGGAGGAGGAGGAGGAGGGGGGGCGACTATAGCTCTCCTCGCCATCCTTTACGGTGACGGGTCCGGGTCCAGATCGCCCGTCCATGGGGCTGTCCGCTCCCCGCCGAGTGCAAAGCGGCTGAGAGGAGGGGGGCGATGGCCCCTGCGCGGGGGCCCGCCTAGCATGGCCCGGGGAGGGACGCCCCCCGCCTCCTCGTCTGGCCCCGAGCCCCTGCCCCGCCGCGCCTTGCGGAAGCTGCTGCTGGTTCTGGGCTCCGTGCTCATGTCTCTCTACGCCAGCTATTGCTTAGCGGGGGCAGCGCGCGTCCTCACCCGGGATCCGGCCCCGATTCCCGTGGCTCAGGGCGAAGAGACGGCCGGCACGCCCCGGGATCCCTTACTGCAAGCCCAGCCGGGGGGAGAAGGCAACAAGCGGCTGCCGCAAGCGGTGATCATCGGCGTGAAGAAGGGCGGCACCCGAGCGCTGCTCGAGTTTCTGCGGGTGCATCCGGATGTGAGGGCGGCGGGCGCCGAGCCGCACTTCTTCGATCGCAACTACGGACGGGGACTCGCCTGGTACCGGTATGTACGCGGCTCCGCTGCTCTTGAATGGCGCCAGCAGGGCAGGGCAGGGCTCCAGCCTCCTTAGGTGTGTCAGGCGCGGCCCTTCCTCTCCCTTCCCGAGTGGGTCGGAGAGCTTGGGAAAGTCGCCGGGAAACCAGCGGGCTCCCTTTGGCTTGCCTGAGTTTCCCAGCTCTAAATTTAGAGCTTCGTTGACAGCCTGCCTCACGCATCCAGTTGAGAGAAGAAGAAGCCAGGATACACATCTGGGAGGAATTCTCTTCAACTCTCTCAAATTAATACCCAGACTAAACTTGTACACCCTGGTATGGTTGCCTTCTTGGTATGCCAAACCAAGCATGCCAAGGGAGCCAAGGGTGAAGTGTTGGGAGTGCGGTTGTTTCTGAGCATGTGCGAAGTATCCTTGGGCTCACTCAGAAATGTAGGTATGTGTTCCTGGATTGAAATATTTAGGGAGAAAAAGCCATCTGGATCTCTAGGTTTATCTATGTGTCTTTGGGACTCTTATGGGATGTATTCTCAAGTAATCCAAACTGCCTCTTAAACCTGCCTCTTAAACCTGGCTCCCTCCTATTTTGCATATCCACCACCTCCTTTTTCCTTGTAGGGCTATTAAATCTGTAATCCTTCTTTCCTGTAGTTCCAGGGCAGCCTCTGGATTGGGATGATCTCTTATCCATGTAGGATATCAAGGGAAGAAAAAAAATCATCCCAATTATCAAAGTCCAGTTGAGGACCTTGATTTTTACCCCTCTCCCCAAAAAAGTCCACATATAACTCCATTAATTCATCCCTTGAGTTCAACTCCCTCAAATTCTCTTTGTCCTCTTATCTTCTGCCCCCTAAGCAGTAACTGTCCCCTACCACTGGTACTCCTTCTTAAACTCACCTTTGTCTTCCTATCTAGCCAGCACCTTTATAAAATATTAGAAGAGGAAATTCTTTGCAACGTTTACCCCAAACCTCTCATTTCAAGCCTGCTATTCAGTCCATGATATTCTACAGGAAGAGAAAGAAGCTGTAGACAATGTTTATTTTACTCTATTGAATGAATTAGATTCATTTATGTAGAATATATTTAGATCTTTCTTTCTTTAACCCTGAATTCCAACTGCATTCTTGTCTGTGAACTCTTCAACCAATGGCTCTTAGTTCATTGATGTGCCCATACTGGAGATTTGGGTTTTTGAGCCACAGAACTAATAAAAATTCCTTGTGTGAAGTCATTGATTTGCTCTAAGTCCTGCTCCAGCACTTTTTTTCATTTTATTGTAACAGCTGCTTCTTTTTACACAGTTTTACACCTTTTGCATGTATTTGGAAATGAAACAAACTGTATAGATTCCAATATAAGTTTTACCAGTTGAAGTGGTCCAACTGGTTTCAGATTGCCAACTTGGCTCTTTCACCTACTCTGATCCTTTTGTATAAATATTGCAGACAAATTAAATTGACCTGCAGACTTGTCCATTCCAGTAAATAAATCCTTAAGTAAACTACATTCCTTCCATGAATCTACTTTCCCCGCCATCAACCCTGTTCATATCTGACCTTTTTCAGCCTCAGCATTGGAAGTAAGCTTGCATGGCATCTGTCCTAAAGTGCCTTCAGCCTTATCTTCAGAAGTATAAAGAAAGAGGTATATGAGCAAAAAGAATCAATCAAGGTCTCCATTGGGATGAAGAGGGAACAGACAGAAAAAGAGATAGGTACTAAACAAAATTTCAGTGCAGGAAGTTTTCACCAACAATACAATGAGTGCCTGTATGAAATGGCTTAGCACTCAGGGAGGAGATAGAAGAGAGATGCTTTAAATCTGCATGTGTATTCTAATCATATATGTTTACATTTTGAGAAGCAGGCAATATAGAAATCTGACTTTACAGCAACAGCGGCTATATACACATCCCACAAATTACCCACAGTTTGCTCAATTAGACCAATTTTCTGAATCATGCACTCAGCTAAAATGTGGATTGCATTTCATGAGATGTTTTGTGGAAATACAGCCAGTGTCCTCTACAAGAAAAATATTGTTAGTGACTGACCCGTCTTTCCTTCCTTCTTTCCTTCTTTCTTTCCTTCCTTCCTTCCTTCCTTCCTTCCTTCCTTCCTTCCTTCCTTCCTTCCTTCCTTCCTATTAACAGAATAGCAAAGTTTTATATGGTATGATTTTTACTCCTAGACTTAAAAATTTAAGCTTAGGCTCACTGTTTTTTAAGGATTGTAAGTGTTCTTTCAAGTATATGTGCCTGATCTCCCCACCCCCCAAGCTTTGGACAACATTTGGACAGATGGTAAGAAATTAGTGCAATTAAATGCCTTTCTTCTCCTGTAAATATTTCAGCTATTTGCTGTTTGCTGTCTTAAAGTAATTAGAGTGACAGGAAAATAGAGCTTTGCAGAAAATTTCTGCTACTTCCCAAGCTATCTTTCTAAAAATTAAAAGTAAAGCCCAGTTTAGAAAATTTCATTCAAATCAGTAAAATTTAAATTAATCATTTGTCTCAGTAAAAACAGAATACTGTTAACGTTCCTTGGGTTGGGACATATGGTTTTCAATCAATAATTCATAGTTGTGTCAGATGTTTGTTTTACGAAGAGCCAGATGTCTTAAGAGCCAAGGAAACTGTTTTATAAAGAGCCTTGTTATTGGTTTAGTTAGTTCAGTTCCGGCTCCTCTACATTAAGTAAAAAGAGTTAAGATATCAGTTTTTCCCAGCCTTCTATGGAAATGACTGTCCCTCTCTCATATACTGGGTGTGCCTGAGATTGTGTGTGTGTGTGTGTGAGAGAGAGAGAGAGAGAGAGAGGGAGGGATGGAGGGAGACTTAGGAATTCATGTGTGTAAAGGAGTTGCTTTATCACTCTCCAATAGTTCTTCCTTATTTCAATTTCTATTCACTCGTGTCAATATTTCGTGTCTGAATTAAAGTATTATAATTGGGAATAGGCATTTGTAGGCTACAATTGCAGAAGTGATGCAATCCCACTGAAAGACAAAAAGATGGATAGCCTTGTCTCCATCTCTTATTTCTCATTAAGATTGTTCAGACAGAACTTCTCTCTGCACTCTGAGGCAGCAACTTACAAACACTCCATTCCACTTTACTCCACAGGTTGTCCTCTTAGACATCCACATTGTGCTCTGTGTTCCTGGGTCCCCACAGTGGTGTTAGTTTTCAGGAGCTTCCCTGCAGCTGAGCCGATCAATGTCTGACTCCAACTCCTGAGCTGCAAAGACAGTTTGTAGTGTCAATTTCTAGAGCGGCAGCAGGTGCTTTCTCATTGGTACATCCTCACTCTGTTCCTGCTCTACAAAGGCAAGGCACTGTGCTGTTTGCTGTCATTTTGGCAGGGCTGGCTTTGTCTTCAAGAAAATATGATACAGGATAAGGCTGCATCCACTTTTTACACCACCCTGTTAGTCATCTGGCAAAAGCCGTGGTTGGATCATGGGAAGTACGATCATAGGATTATGGGGCTGGAAGGGACAACAAAGCCAGTCCAATCCTCTGCAATTTGCAGAAAAAGACCATCTTAATCCCATCTACGAAGGATGGCCTGGGTAGAAGTCCCAGGGTTGTGTTACTGTTACAATGTCTTTTATTAAAATAAATCTGGATAACTATAACTTATGGCCATTATTTCTGTGCATTGTGTAGTGTAGACAATGACAAGTTTCATAGGGATGATCTGGTGGTGATCTGTAGGTATCCTAAACTTGTTATTGTGTTGTTTGTGTGTGTGTGTGTGTGTGTGTGTGTGTGTGTGTGTGTGTGTGTGTGTGTGTGTTGAAAAGATTCTTGTCCTAAATGTCAATCTGCCTTGTACTTTCTAGAAACTGCATGTTGGGAAAGCTGGCATGTGCCAGGATGGTGTGACATAATGTGGTACAGAACAAGAGAGTTGTAGCCTCACCTTCTGGGAATTCTAGTTTCAATACACCTGGATGGTTCTAGGCTAGAGCAGACTGGTATAGTGTCTAGGTTACTGGACTTGCCCAGGAATGGACATACATATTTTCCATCCATATCTTGAAGACAAAGGATAATGTAAACTAGGCACCTGTTAATGCTGAGCCAAAAGAGAATGCTTTGAATCAATATTTTGATAGCATTAGAAAATCTTTCTCCTCCCCCCAGGTTTTTTTTTAAACAGGCACAAGTGATTTGAATACTACTTTAAAAAATTACTAACTGCATGAAAGCTTGATTAATTTGCCTTGTCCTCAGGAACATCACCATGCAACTTAAACATATTGCCTGCAAATTATTAGACTGCTTTCCTGATCCCTGATAATTGAATCAAAGCACTGTGATTAAATTAAATCTTAGAGACACCAAGAACCCGTCAGAACTCTGACTTACTAAGGAACTGGTTGGAGTTTGTCACTCGGGCTCCTCCTATAAGAAGGAGTGGCTAAACAAACTGTGGAAGTAAGGTACTTTCCATGGTTTGTTTAACATCTTCTGGCTTGTTCTTTTCCTAACAAGCTTGTTAGGAAGTAACACTGCAGTCTTTCTGCTTTTGATGGCATGCTAAACAAACCACAGAACGAGCTTCTTGTGGGAAGCCAAGTGGAAACAATGGAGTTGTTCACAGCAGGTGGAAACGTTGGCTTAGTATCATATGTGAATGCAGCCAATACTGAACAATGCCAAGTAGCCTGGATGTATATTCACTCATTCTCCCATCACCTGCACAGAATTATCTTTTATAGTGTTTTATAGAATTGTATGAAAATCTTAGCTCAAAATGTTTTCTTGATTTTGTTTTTGTACATTTGGGGGAAAGATTTGGACAACTCTCTTCCTCTCCGACAGCTGATACTTTTGTTGTGCTATGACTGGGCTCACACACCATGATAAGTCATAAGATAGGTGATCTGATATTGGCTTAGCGTAGTGTATGAATGCAGCTAATAAAAATGTGTTCAGTAAACCATGGTTAAGCAATTCACAATTTATTTTGAAACAGCCACAGTGAGTAAACCCTAG